TGCAAAATGCGAAAGTGCAAGAGAACCACCTAAAGACCCACAGTTCCTCTGATCGATACTAATTAGGACCCTTCTCCTAATCAAGGGGCGAGTAGGCAACCCGGTAGACACGACCCAGGGACCATTAATAAAATGAAGTCTCGACGAGTCCGGGCCGATGCACCGGGTCTCAAAAAACTAATCGCCCGGGCTCAAACTCGCTCTGCGCTCATTACTTACTCGTCAGCCCCCCCCCCCCCCCGGGGAGGGGGGGAGGAGGGGGGAGGGTAAAGCCGCAGGACGCGCATTACTCCCATGCAAATCCACCTCGCGGGAGGGACGCGAACTTTCGGCGAAGAGGGATGAGGGAGGGTGCGCCACTCAGTGTTGACGTCACGCGGGGGGGTGAGGCTAAAAGAGGGACCGAAAATGGTCCATGAAGACCCTAACTTCTCTTCCACGTGGCCGTGGAGAGCGTAGGGTTGATCAGAGAGCAGGGCTCATCTTGAAATTTATGTAGCGGCTTTGCGTCATCGGGGCGACGAATTCGTGGCTCCTCTTGAAGTAGGGGCGTATCTATATTTTCACGTGAGCCCCGAGCAACATAGAGTTAAACGGGAGATAGGGTTCACGTAGAAATTGAGATACGCTCATACGTCGGAGGGGCGACAAATTGAGGAGACGGATCGACGACGCTGAAAGGACGCATTCATTTTGTTCAACGGCCGTGCGTGTATTGCGTAGCGCCACGCTCCGAGAAAAAAATAAAATGATGGATTTCTGCCGAGTTGAGGAAGAGCGCCGTAAGAACCTTGGAATACTGTCAAATTTCCTTCGAGAAAATCCTTTCCAATCTGATTGTGAAAAACTTCACGGAAATTATAACTCTAAGTCTTATATGTATAAATTCTTGCAAAAAATGGAACATCTGAATCAATCTTGCAACCTGGGAATGGAGTTACGTTGTTCCTGCGTCCAATTTAAATCATGCCTCCCTTCGGCGACCATTTCAGGGTCGACCCTTACTTTCAGTTTCAGTAGTGGATATTCGGACGTATTTCTGTCAAACAGAACTATGTGCATTAGAGCGTGAACCCTGTTAAGCATTTATCCTTATGGGTCTCAGGGGTCACGTCTTAATGCACATAGTTCCGTTTGACACGTCAATTTAAGAGCCCGGGGGCCCCAATTCGAGGGCTGTCCCTTCGGACACAAGAAATCCGTGCATTACGGAGCGGCGCGGCGCACACTGATCCGAGTCAATAGGTGAAGAAGGACAAAATCCAGCAACTTTAAACGCTTAAATTGTCGAAAATATGAAGCAGGAAAGTTCAAGAGTGGCTCCATTGATTTTTCCCATGAGATTTCCTTCCAGAGACACCCATTGAGATTGAATTCGTGACGAGATGAACAACAAAATTTGAAATAGCCTTTCAATTTCATGTTCGGCAGCTCGTTCCACCGTGCGGTAGTCGGTGATTAGGTGGAAATAACAGTTTTCAAACTGTGCAATAAAATGTGGATACTTCACGAGGGTTTGAAAAGGGAAAAGTGCTGATTTTCAGCACAATCTGGCAACTATGGTGGAAATTAGGATCCGGCGACCTCCGCCGGGAAAACGCCCGGGGATTTTTCAAGTTCACGAAAATGTCGAGCGGCGCGCGTCGCGGCGCCTGTCGCGGTGCGGAGAAAGGACTGACCTACTTTTCAATTATGCATGCTCCCGTGCTAAGGAAAAACGCCGCATGAACCTTCAGGTGTTGCCAAACTTCCATTGATAAAACGCGAATTTCCTGCTCAACTTATGAATATTTTCCTCCCGATTCTTCAGATAATTCAGTTCGCAATTTTATCTAAAGATTCTGAAAATTCCAAGGGAAAATATTGGCAATTTTTCTCAAACATAAACATTTTACCGGAGGAAATTTGGCAACTCACGAATGCTCATATGGCGTTCTTCCTTAGCACGGCAGTGAGCACGACTCACTTACACCTGCGTCGCCGTCGATTCATTCAATTACGTAGTGGACTCAATTCCACTCCGCAAGGTGACACCAAAGTTGGTTCCCGAATGCACTCTTACGAATGGAGCACATTTTTTTACGATAAGGAACTACCACTTCCGGCTAATCCGTAAAAGCGCGTGACTGCATGGGAAAACAAACGACACATTCGTCATTTCTGAATAAAGCCAGAAATTGACCGCGTTTAGTAGAAAGGAACCAAGCCACATCAGCCTTTGCCAAATTCAACCGGGCCATTTAATTTTTTACGAGAGAACGTTTGTGCGTTTTTTTTTTTTTTTTTGAAAATTGTAAAGAATTTGCTTCGCGCGCACTATGCAGAGAATGGTTCATGGTTAGGTTACGTTGGGTTTAGGTTATGTTAGGTTAGAAAACTACAACCTGCTGATAGGAACTTTCTACCCATCGGTATAAAGTATCTACCTATGGGTAGAAACGTTCTACCTATCGGGAGAAACTGATGGAACATACGTTGTTTCTGAACTGAGCCAGAGATTGTAGTTCCTAATTGAGAATTTGCATGCAAATTTTTCATTGCTTCATCTGAAAGTGCTTAAAAAGCTGATTTCGCAGTATTTTTTATAATTTTTTTCTGATATGGGAAATAGTATAAAAATAGATTTAAAAGTGAGGAAATGCACCGCCTAGTGACGTCATCTGGCGGCATTTCTCATTTAAACACTTGTATTTTAGCAGATTAAATCGTTTGTTCACATCTTCTCCAATAAATGTTCAATTCATGAACCAAGGATATCGTGTTCAGTTCACTCAATAGTATTCACTTAAACACGAAATTCATCTAATTTCAGGCACCTGCAAATTCTCAATTGCAAAATTTAATCCGATAGAAAGGCGGGGTATCGAATGATTCGAATGACGTAACTAGATCTGTCCATAGGGGTGGCAGTAACTAGGCATTAGATCCCTATGAAAATATGTATACAGGGTTATCCAAAGGTCACTGACCACCCCTGTAACTTTTTTCCAAATTGAGATAGAAGTTTGAAACTTTGGGAATCTTCCTCGGTCTAAAGTAGCAACTTTTCGGTCCCCCCAAAATTTTGGGGGGCGGCCCCCCTTAAGGGGGGCGGGGGCTAACTTTTTTTTTTCAAATGGCAACCCCCCCTTTGTGACACCTCATTCGAAAGATAATAAAAAAAGAAAATTTTTGGCGCAAACCGCAGGTCAAAATTTTCATTTTTGACAAAATGGCGGCCGGTCAAAGTTCAAAATTGCGGAAATTTGGCATCTCCGTTGTTTATTGACGGATTGGTGTGAAACTCGGTATTCTAGGGTGTTTTGAGATGAGAAAAACGATTCTGGCATTGGTTTTCCAGAAAAGTCAGTCTTTTGCAAAATGGCGGCGGTCAAAATGGCGGCCTAGAGCGGGAAGTGGATATTTAGGCTGCATATCGTTGGATTTGCATGAAACTTGGTATCCGGGGGTATTTCGGCACGAGAAGAACGAATCTTTCATTGGATATCTGAAATTATGACAAATTCCAAAATGGCGGCGGAAAAATTGCGGGAAATCAGTTTTATGGCTCTTTACCGATAGATTAGCATGATATTATTTGATATTTCAAGAATCTAATGAAATATTCCTTTTAATCCAGCCAAAAACCGCCAGGATATCGAATTTCATGCAAATCCATCGGTAAACAGCCGTAAAACTGATTTCCCGCAATTTTTCCGCCGCCATTTTGGAATTTGTCAAAATTTCAGATATTCAATGAAAGATTCGTTCTTCTCGTGCCGAAATACCCCCGGATACCAAGTTTCATGCAAATCCAACGATATGCAGCCTAAATATCCACTTCCCGCTCTAGGCCGCCATTTTGACCGCCGCCATTTTGCAAAAGACTGACTTTTCTGGAAAACCAATGCCAGAATCGTTTTTCTCATCTCAAAAAACCCTAGAATCCCGAGTTTCACACCAATCCGTCAATAAACAACGGAGATGCCAAATTTCCGCAATTTTGAACTTTGACCGGCCGCCATTTTGTCAAAAATGAAAATTTTGACCTGCGGTTTGCGCCAAAAATTTTCTTTTTTTATTATCTTTCGAATGAGGTGTCACAAAGGGGGGGTTGCCATTTGAAAAAAAAAAGTTAGCCCCCGCCCCCCAAAATTTTGGGGGGACCGAAAAGTTGCTACTTTAGACCGAGGAACATTCCCAAAGTTTCTAACTTCTATCTCAATTTGGAAAAAAGTTACAGGGGTGGTCAGTGACTTTTGGATAACCCTGTAGAAGAAGCGAGGGAGCTAGGTTCTCGAGTTGGCCGATAAATGCCATTAAATAACGACGGCGAGCGGATTCGGAACGTGTTTGATGACACGTAGTAATCAATAAAAGCGATAACACTCTCGCTTCTACCAATCGTCCTGTTGGAGATTAGCCCAAAAACAAGTGACCACAAACAAGAGGTCCATGCTACATACAATTTCACACGTCACAAGTGAAGGCTGAAAAGCAGACCATCGAATCGTGGGCGAGACAGGGTGTTGAGTATTGACTGGGGTGGGGAAAAAGGGCGTAGAGCAACTCTTATCACTCTTCATAAGAAATAAATTTCAATTTCTTTCGATAATTGTTGGGATACGGGCAGTCAGGCCTGTAATTCGCCGTTTTCCCCGCAAAAGGACGTAACTTAATTTCAATGTTACCTAATTTCCCCTGACAAGTTGCAATTTTAAATGTAGATTCTTGGGCTTTTCCGACGGCGAATTTCGTTGATGTTTTATCTGATCTCATGCAAAAATCAGACAAATTTTGGACAAAAATTGCACAGGTACATCTGGTACATTCTTGTAAAAAATCGAATTGTTTGAGGTCCGAGAAATGACGAGTTGTACCCACTTCTATACCTTTTCGAGCCATTTTTTTTAAAAAATTTGTTCAAGTCGTTGTTGATGCGAAAGACATAACAGAAGTTCCCACGTTAACTTAAGTAAACAAGGAAAATAATTGAAACTTTAGACGTCTAAAAAGGATACATTTCTTGAAAAAAATCCAGATGAGGTGGTTGCAGTATATCCAGAGCAGATAGAACCTGAAAAGGAGAAAATTTACATGCATGAATACACTGCGATGGGGCAGGAAGGACTGCAAGGGGTGTAGAAAATACTCGAGCGCGCAAATCCTGGCTCAAGTGTGAATTAGAAACTATTTCAATGGAAATTTTTTTTTTTTATCTTACTTAAATAATCAGAAATCTGAGAGACGCACTAATTTTGCAATGCTTTTGCAGGGTGTCTAGTTTTTTTTTTTTTTTTTCATTTTGGGAAATCCTGATTTTTTCTGACTTTTGACCGCTAAATCCTGATTTCATATTTTTTCCAAATCCTGATCAAATCCTGACTTTTTACGGAGAAAAATGAACGGACGGAAAGTCGATAATTAACGGAAAATAAGCAGACGAGCGACTTTCCTCAAATCGTGATTCAACGACCAATTTTTCTTCAAATCCTGATGAAATCGGGATTAAATCTTGATAGAATAGGGAAAATCCTGATGCTAGACACCCTGTTTTGGATCGATGCGTATACTTTTGATAAACTTCCGAGGCGAGAAAATTTCCCGAGGAATAAGGAAATTTTGAAGCTGGGATTGCAACTAATTTTTGCTCCGAGGAACTTTCTGCACCCCCGGGGAGCAGATCATGAGGTCTTACAGCACAGCAGGGTTGTACAATCTACACAGAGCCATGAAATATTCAGACGGTGAAATAGGGTCGAATAGGGCCGTCCATAAATTACTTAACGCTTTTACGGATTTTTGCACCCGCCAATCCGGCCCCCATAAAGTTCGCTGCGCTTTATACCACTCTGCAAATTGCATAACATTGGCTCTGGCTGACCCCACCCCCCCCCCTCCTCCTATCGTTTTCCAAGGGTACGACGGGGTGCTTTTTAAATTGGTTGAATAAGTCGCAGTTGCAGTGAATAACAGCTGAGAATCAATGAAAATTGGAAATGGAATGTATGCTTAGGTTGATAAGCACAATCATACTAATTCAATTATGAAAAGATTTGTCGGTTAAAACTCATTTTAAGCTATTGAAAAGCTAATAATCCTATCATTACTAAAATTCAGGTCAACTGATAGCTTCTTATATAAAATTTCACGTCTTTAGAAATAATGAGCTTCTTCCTTGGGGTGTGACGATCTCAAAATAAAAACGTCTATAAATTGAGACTTTTTAGACACCGAAGTAAACTAAGCAAGGCAATGTATAAAGCAGTTACGATAAAAAATAATCCGTTCGAGTTGAGATGTGGGAAAGTACAAACAACTTGACAAAAATCAGAACATTGAGAACTAAGAGAATAAAATAAGAAGAAATGAGGGTAGATAGTTAAGCGATTTTAACGGTAAAAAGTTACCACCCAGGTCCGTAAAATTTTAGATCGTCCATGGAAGAAAATGGATTGCTGATTTGACAATTAAATTGGTTAAAATATTTCCGACATGTCACAGACATACATTTTACAATAGTGGAAAGCTAATTTAACCACGCGGGTGGTTAAATTAGTATTTTTTACTAGTACGATCTAAACTGAAACATGTCGGACACTTTTTGACTACAACATTGTTAAATCAGCAATAACATTTTTTTCCGTGTCCGCCAAAAAATATGGTGATACCATTTGGAAATTTTAAAACCACACAAAGCGAGAGGGAAAAAAATATAAAATGAGAAAGACATAATAACTCACGTTTTCATGTTTGAAGTAACATAACATTTTTAATTCTCTAAAGACTCGCTTGGAAGAGACGAGGGATTGAAAGACATTGGGTAATTTTTTTAGGGCCACTCTTCTACCGTCCCGTGGATCCGTCACCGCCCTGCAACATAAACAAACAACAAATCTCAACACACAAAACTTCTTCGATTACTATCAAAACACTCAACCGCAAATAAAACACATCTTAAGAATATCATATACACAGGGAGGAAAAACGAGAGTTGTCGCGAGTTGAAGAAGCGACAGCTCTTCCAGAATCGGGATCCCCATAACTTCTTCATTTTCATAATCCCTGACTCCCACAATATCCGATTTAAACCACCACTTGGATTTTCATTCTTTGAGTTACGCTGGCATCTTCTGACCTAGGTACTATAACTAGGTACTACAACTAGGTACTACAACTATGGGCGAATCACGAAAAGTCTACTTTTAGAGATTCATATTAATGAGACAGGCAATCGGAAGTGATTCACGCTTTCTTGATTGCTACCTAACTAAAGAGTCACTCGTGAGTTGCCGTTAGTTAGTCTACTACGAGGGTGTCTTCAGTTACGAAAAACCAAAATTGGGGACTTTCGGTGACTTTCAGGGCAGTTTTTTCAAGAAAAGCGGGGACTTTTTCTACCGAAATAGTAAGAGAAAGGGAGCAAGTTAGAGCGTTAGAAGGCGCATTTTATACGATTAATTTTACAAGTCATGTTGAACCGATGAAAACATACGAGAAACCAAGCAACACTTTAGTTTTTTTATCCCTGGTTATACCGCGCCGCGGCTGGCAGAAGAAGATAAAATGCGTCCTTAACACCGGTTTAGGACGATTTCTGTCATTTTTTGGGGACCTGAACAAGAAAATTAGGTACAATCGGGGATATCGCGGGGACACCCTTCCAAAATCGGGGATAATCGGGGACATTTGCGGACCGGTTGACACCCTCATTATCTAATTAACGGAAAATAAGTGAACGGGCGACTTTTCTTGAATCCTGATTTTACGACCAATTTTTCCTCAAATCCTGATTGACCTCAAATCCTGATAGAATCGAGAAAATTCTGATGCTACACACACTGCATACGGCATTTTTCCTTAGTACGTCAGTACCAGACGACCCGTTTGGGGACGTAGTAGTTGTGAAAGATTTTGTCTCTGGTCTGAGCGGTGGACACGGCGGGGTCATTCCACGGCGTTAAATATACTCGCTCGGCGGATTCGACAAACGTATTCTGCATGAGAAAAAAGGAGGAAAGAAATTCGCCACCTTCCGCTGTTGCCGCTTCGACGAAACGCATTGACGTCACACTCGTCGGATCGCACGGAAGAGGATGAAAACGAGGGGTTTAACTGCCACACTCGGCAACACTGAAAGTTGCTCCAACGGGAGAAAAAATTCCCACGAGGAGGCAACGCACTCCAAGCACTGGAACAAGGTGCCTCACGCAGATGCCAATTTTAAAGGAAAATCCCACTTTTCCAGCCAAGAGGACACGTCTGCCATACTAAGGAAGAACGCCGTATCAACATTCAAGAGTTGCCAAATTTCCCCGGATGGAATATGTATTTTCTGAGGAAAGTTGTGCATATTTTACTTCAAAATTTTCAAATCTTTTGGATTAAATTGTACACAAAATGGTTGGGAAAATTGGGGGGAAAAATATTGAAAATTTTCTCAGTAAATTCGAGTTTTATCAAAAGAAATATGGCAACGCCATACGGCGTTTTTCCTTAGCACGGCAGACTTAGGCTATTGATTAACTGGGCCATTAGTCGTGAGAACAACTTGTCAGCTTTCCATTGGTATTAAGAATGGGCAACTTTGTGCTTAGTTTGAAAGGAGACCAAGTTAGTATGCACTCGCCACTTGATCGGTAAATACTGAAACCTAATAATTCTAAAAATCGATTTTTTCTTCTTTTTCGGGGAAAACTCTTCTTTGAGCTGCTTTACGTCGCTTACTTTTGAAGATTATGGGAACACTCCGAAAATTGGAGAAGTTGAGTTGAACAAAAATCACTTTTCTAGTTCATTCTGCGCAAAAATCTGACAAAATTTGAAAAATTCGTGTTGAGAATTTCAGGATAAATTGCAGTGTTGGGCTGTTGGGTGCAGAGAGGCCATTTCTTGGTTCCAGGATTTCAGAATATCCACTGCTAATTTATATTATAGAGTGGAATCTAATGAGCAAATTTTCTGAAACCTTTCATTTTCAGCATCTTAAAATCATGAAGAGAATTCAGTAAAAGTTTAAACAAATTCCGTAAATTCACTTCCGCCATAATGACTGAAACGTTAGCGGAGATTCTGAGACTCTTCAACCGAAAAATGCTCTTTCTGCACCCCGTAGCGCCTCGATTGCGTGAATGATCGATTATCGATTTTTCCCCATGTGAAGCTATGGTGAATAATCGATTATTAAGGTGTTCATTGCGAACACCCTGTTCATCGACCCTTTTCCATAGATTTAAATGGCAAATCAATCGATTTATCGCAAAAGTTGCCACGCCACTGCTCGATTGGGCAGAATGGCCAAAATAATTGGTCATTACTGCAGATCCATATTAAGTAACCGTTCTTTTAAAAGTCCAAAATAAAGTTTGGATTTTTTTACTTTTTAGATTTTAACGTCCGCTCATTTGCGCGAAGAATTTCGAATGAAATTGGTCAACACGGCGCCGCGCCTGGGCGATGATTTTTCTACGTGCTATCCTGCTCAGCGTCCGTCCACGTATTTATCTGCGGAAATAAAATCTTGTGTCAACCCTTGGCCTCACCCTCCCTCNCCCCCCCCCCCCCCCCCCCCCCTCGAGGGATCGTAAGATGACCAATGACCGCCTCGGATATACAAACCCGAAGAGCAGTCCGCTCGTCGCACAGTGGATCGAGTCAAACAGAGAGGTCGGACATGAAATTTTTGTCTACAACTGCAAATTTTGATGTTTATTTCGTCACATTTGAAATATCAAAGAGTGTTTTAGGAAGAAAACACGAGAAACCCAATGGAACCTCTTTTAAAATCTCAAATTTTTTTGTTAATGGAGTGTAAGCATTTAAAGTTTCCAAATTTTGTCCAAACTCCCCAACCGACTCGATCAACTGTGCGTCGGGGCGTTTGGAGTGCGTCTTCCCGTTCTGAAACCTCCTCCCGAGCTTGAAGCAATGAGACAAATCGATTCGTCGTTTCCCCCACGAAAGAACGTAACTGCATTTCCATGTTGCCCATCGAAAATTGCAATTTTAAGTGTGGGGTATTTGGGATTCCAAACTGAAGATTTCACTGATTTTTCATCTGATCTCAGGCGAAAATCAGACAAATTTTGGACAAAAATTGCACGGATACCTTTTTGCAAAAAAATTGAATTGATTGAGTCAATTTTACAATCTTGAATAAGTAACGTTCGTTTGTGCGGGAAATGACGAATTTCGATTTTATATCATCCATTCAACCGGTATCGGACGTCATTAGAAAAGTAGTTAAAAAAGAAGAAATCGGTGCTTTCTCCCGCCCTCTGATCAAGAGGCTTTACTAAAAGATGCAATTATACTTCGACGCGGGGGATATGTTTTTGTCCATCTCCTACTTGAAGGCAAATCAGACACGCTCAGCAGATCTGTTGAAATCAATACGCGAAATGACGAGTTTCTTTGATTTTTAAAATTTGCAAACATTCCCCTGACTTCATCAGGATTTTGGGCATGGAAAAGAGTTTTGCACGAAAAAACAAGCTCTACCGTTGATGTAATTACATCCATGCACCAAAGCCTTGCCAACCAGCCCAACGGACCGATTACTGAACTTGATAGACAGAGCTATAGACAAAGAAAACAAAAAGGGATATGGAGGGATGCTATTGGTGTACTTGGTTGCAATGGACGAAGGAGGTGGGTACTGCCGTGCTAAGGAAGAACGCCGTATGAACCTTCGCGCGTTGCCAAATTTCCTCTGATAACACACGAATTTCCTGGTAAACCTATGAATATTTCTCTTCCAATTACCTGATAATTTTGCTCGCAATTCCACCGAAAAGTCCTGAAAATTTCAAGGAAAAACATTCATGACTTTCCTCAAAAATGAACATTTTATCGAAGGAAACTTGGCAACTCTCGAATGTTCATACGGCGAACCACCCATATTAACCAACAGGATTGCTCCATACTCTCTTTGTCTTCTTCTTCTATTGCTTTGTCTATCAATTTCGATAATCAGCCCGCAGGCGGGGTGCAGAATGTTCAGGAACCAACGATCGATGGGTCGTTCGTGAACGGTGCGATGCTTGAAGTATTCCTACAGTTTTGCAGGCGCTTCCCGCGGTCGTTTTTCGCACCAAGTTCAAAGTTTCAGAAATTTTCTTCCGGAAGAAGAGATCCCTTTCCACGGATCTAGTCACAATTATTGTGAAGGAACAGAACTTTAATTTCTCGCAGATCCACAACAATGAGAAAGAACTTGGTCTCTTTCCCGCTAACTCCAGAGACTCGAACGCAGGAGTAGAAAAGTTGGATGGGGCAAAACGCGTGATACAACTATTTCAACTTCCAAATAAGTAAAATTGCATATCCACAAAATGAAGGAGAATCTATTTTCGACTGACTTAGAGACTTTAACGCAGGAGTAGAAAAGCTGGATGCGGCAAATTGCTTGATACAACTATTTCGACTTCGAAGTAGGTGACATTTCATAGCCACAAAATGAAGAAGAATCTCTTATCGACTAACTCGGAGAATTTAACGAGGGAGTAGAAAAGTTGAATGGACGCAATTAAAAGTTAGACAGAAACTTTAAAACACTACTTTTCCCTGAGTTTGGTGCAATTTTGTTGCATCCCGCTCGTGCTCAGAGGTGTATAGTACATGCCTGATCTTGCAATCCTAGGATCGTGGCAAACCTGAGGCAGTTTTTAAAAAAATGATGCCTTTTTATTTTACTTCATTTGTATCCAACCCAAAGTCCACATTATAACCCAAAAATCGGGCATTTTACAAAATCGAATATTCGGCCGGGAGGCAAATGAAAAATAAGGCCCGGAGGCAAAATCGCCTTGTCACGGCAAACCGTCAGCGTTTAGGATCTTAACAGGGTTGCCACAGAATTTGGAAAATGAAAT